GCCGCGGAGGCCGGAGACGGAGCGGAGCTGCAGCACCAGAGCCATGGGGGACCGGGCCGGGCTCGGCCGGGCCCGTGCGGCTCCCGGGGCCCGGGCCGGGCTCGGGGCGGGCTCGGGACGGGCTCGGGACGGGCTCGGAGCGGGCTCGGAGCGGAGCCGGGGGCGGCTCGGGCCGCTCGGGGCGACGCCGCTGCCTGATGCGGTCCCGGTGCGGTCCCGGTGCCTGATGCGGTCCCGGGGCGGTCTCGGTGCGGAGCCCGAGGTGGTCCCGGTGTGGTCCCGGTGCCTGATGCGGTCCCGGGGCGGTCCCGGTGCCTGATGCGGTCCCGGGGCGGTCTCGGTGCAGAGCCCGAGGTGGTCCCGGGGCGGTCTCGGTGCGGAGCCCGGTGTGGTCCCGGTGCGGTCCCGGTGCCTGATGCGGTCCCGGTGCGGTCTCGGTGCAGAGCCCGGGTGGTCCCGGTGCGGTCCCGGTGCCTGATGCGGTCCCGGTGCGGTCTCGGTACGGAGCTGGGTCTGGTCCCGGGGCGGTCCCGGTGCCTGATGCGGTCCCGGTGCAGAGCCCGAGGTGGTCCCGGTGTGGTCCCGGTGCCTGATGCAGTCCCGGTGCGGTCTCGGTGCGAAGCCCGAGGCAGTCCCGGTGCCTGATGCGGTCCCGGGGCGGTCCCGGTGCAGAACCCTAGGCGGTCCCGGTGCCTGATGTGGTCCCGGGGCAGAGCGCGGTGAGGTGCCCGGAGCCTGACGCGGTCCCAGTCCCGGTGCTGGTCCCGGTGCTGGTCCCAGTCCCGGTGCTGGTCCCGGTCCCGGTGCTGGTCCGGTGCCGGTGCTGGTCCCGGTGCTGGTCCCGGTGCTGGTCCTGGTCCCGGTGCCGGTGCCGGTGCCGCGCTCCGGAGCTTGCTGCGGTCTCAGTCCCGGTGCTGGTGCCGGTCTCGGTCCCGGTGCTGGTCCCGGTGCCGGTGCTGGTCCCGGTGCTGGTCCCGGTGCTGGTCCCGGTGCCGGTGCCGGTGC